TTCTGCAGGTTGTTGGCTCCATTGTTCAGCGACCAGGTGGCACCATCCTTCTGCAGTTTGGAGGTTCCAGCCCAATCCTGTCTGCCTCGTCCCTAAAGCCTGAAGCATTGGATGTTTAGTGACAATTCTGTAGCTTTCTTCAAGCGGTACAAATGAACCCCATGTAAACCTCGACATCACTCTTAAAAAAATCCAACTTTGGTCCCATTGGGCGTGCCAATTGTTGGAACCTAAAATTCAGAGGATCTAAAACCGTTCATCAATTCCGTCGGTGTGGGTTCCGGAAGTACTCTATAGAGTCTGTCCATCATCGGATTGGGGACGGCTCATTTGGTGGAGCGTGCACGGCTTCGAGCCTAAACGAGGCTTGACCTGTCGTGCGGTCAATCAAATATTTCACCTATTCCGTGATCACAATTTAATGTAATACAGAGGAAGAGATCGTCTCCACAGGGATTGTGTGATTCACTCTTTCGTGTTATAATGTAGTAAATAATTGGGGGGAATTTGCTTTTATTATCTAATGAAAATAAAACAAGAAAGCAATTAAATTAACGGAGAACTAGCTATTAAGGGGATGTCTGGCTCAACGGATGATGCATTTATGGCACTTGTGTTTTATCATTGATTCAATGAAGTTAGTTCTTATTAAAGTATCAATAAATTGGTTATAGTTATCAACAAGCTCTGACAACCAATTTTTTCTTACAACATAGGTAATTAACGTACAACCGTTAACTACCCCTAATTAAGAAAATAAACATAGGTGTGCCCATAAGAAATATTGCTTAATCGCATTCTAATTTAGAAAAACCCAATTCAAAACAATTACTACCTAAGAGGAGCAATTAGATTTGATTGTCTAACCCCCGGGAATGAACTATTCAACCTGGTTGTCACCTATTCAAGTGCGAATACAATTACGGATATCCTACCTGAATTGACTTTAGATAATCAGACTAATTCAAATATCGGTACCAAAATATTCAATCAATCTAACAATCACAAACGTTATTATCAGAATTAGACAAATATTGATAATTAAAAAGAACTTTTATAAAGTAATTTAAGAATCTCCAAAACAAAAGAACCAAAATATTATCACCCCTCAAACCAGAAAAGTATCTACTCCATAATCAAATAACAAAGAACAAAAGAGAAAGATAAAGTCATAGTGGGAGGGGAAATCTTCTCTGTCGATTTGCTCATGCGCGATCTATAAGTCTGCTAGTCTTCTGCTCTTGTACGTATCTGCTCTGGCTGTTCTCTCCACTTCAAACTTGTGATCCCTCCTCCTTTTATTTAATTTTTGCCCTAATTATTTTGTAGTTGGGTTTTGGGCCTTTAATTAAATTCTCATATCAGGATGGTATAGTTAGTCATGGCCATGACTAACTAGGTGGTGCAAATCTAAATTTTTCTTTACTTTTTCTGCCAATTACGCCAAATTTGATATTTGTCCTCTGCACGTAGCAAATAACAATACGCATATAAATTAGGTAGAATCCAATCAAAATCAATCAAATATCGCATATAATATGAACATTTAACGCATGCGATTTTTAACTATCAAGGCTTCGATGGATTTAAACTAAAATCTACTAAAAATTAGATAAATCTATTGAAATGCGGATAAAAATATGCTGGAAACATAAATTACCAAAAAATTAAGATAATCTCCTAAAACCTATGGATAAACTAATAAAATGATAAAGACTTGTAGAGGATATGTGTGTTCTTCTCGTGTGTGTGTTCTTTTCACTATATGTATCATAATATCGAATAAATATCTCTTATACTAAAAAGGTAGTTTCAAATATTCCTTCCACTACCTCCAACCGTCTGGTAACCTCTCTCCATCAGCTTCCAACCGTTGGATTTGCTTTGAACCACCTTCATTACATCTGAACCGGCTCCCAACTCATTATGAATCCCCCCCACTACTCTTGAATCGATCTTCAGCTTACCCCGAATTGCCTACATTACATCTCTAGTCGGTCTATGGGATTTTACTCCCAACAGCCTTGAGTCGCGTGGAGTTTTCGATTTTTCTCTTGTTGGCTTGTTACATGGAGCTTTCTGAATAAAATATGAAAGTGCATAGGCCTTCCACTGATGTTCAGAACAAAATTATTAACTCAGGGCCAATTGAGGTGGTTATCCCATGATCTGTGGAAGTTGTTGGTTTTTGTCTTGTGGAGACAACATTCCTTTGCTTTGTGGAAGCACCGCAATCATATGGAGGCAGCTGTTTTCAACCCAATGGAGGCAGCAATTTCTGACTTTTTGGAAGCATTGTTCCGAGATGGAGGCATCATAGTCCAAGGAGTTGCTACCTTAAGATTAATGGAGGTTGCTGCCCCAGGGTCTGTGGAGGCTGCTGCTTTTGGCCCTGTGGAGGCAACAATCATTTGCTTTGTGGAGGCATCACAGTCCAATGGAGTTTGTTTTTTTCGGCTCTGTGGATACAACAGTCTTTGGCTCCGTGGCATGAAGCTCCATTGTTGTTTGACAGCTCCGTAGCCTGAGAGCTCCGGCTCTGCTTTTGCCTTCGAGCCTTTTTCATATTCGGGTGTTTTTGGACCCATGTCCAACAGTTTTAAATGACTATTGATCATATAGACATGATATTTTTTTGCAATTTTCCCAATCATTCAAGATCGTTAGACAATGAATGAAATTGTTGTTTGTTTGGAATTTGATTTCAATTTGCAATTTGTATTATTGGATAAAATAGTTGTTACATATCATGTTAGTACAAAATATTAATATATATCTACTGAGAACTATGAAGCTATAGTAAAGAAATTGTAAAAAAAAAAAAAGACTGGAATTGAATAGAACTTTATGATCCCATTTAGCGTAAATACGTGAGTGTTACATAATGAATTCAGTTTCTTTTGCAAATGTGATTAGGTGATTGATGTATTATATGGCATGCCGGTGCTCCAATTCAGCTTATCCGATTGGCCAAGTCAGAAAATATATGTCAAACCTTGCAATGGAGCATTGAAAAGCCATGAAATAGATATTCAAGTATCTACGAAGTACATCAGGCTATTGTCTTGAGTTTAGAAAGTAAAATAATTTGAAGAAATTGGTTGGGTATGTCTGATTATGCTAGAGACTTGAATAATTGATATTCAAATAACACTACAAAAAAATAATATATTTGTAAGGGAATTTCGTCCCTAAAGTTCACGTAGCTAACATAATTCCATTACTAATTCTGTCTTTAATGTCATTAGTAACGGAAAAAGTAGATTTAGAAACAAAAAAGTTTTGTTACAAAAATAATTTTTTCTTGTAGTGTAAATTATTTAGTCATTCATTTTTTTTATAAGATTGGTATCTTGGAAGTCTATCATTCATTCGATAGTCAATATAACAAGAAATGAGGTTGAATATATTGCTATTTTAGAGGCTGGAAATGTAGCTTGAGGGTTAAAGTAATTGATGAATTGAGCATACAAGGTGGAGTGTCATTGCAATGTGATGGTCAGATTACCATTTTTATTTTTATTTTTGTGAAGAACCAAATATGTTGTGCAAGGGGCAAACACATGAAAATTCGATTTCATAAAACTGAACTTGTTGTCCGGTAAGAGATGGTCTGGTGGTGTGGAAGTTTATTCAAAATACGCTCGTCGAGTAGCGGTTTCGGATTTTCATGTTATATAAAAAAAAAAAATTGTTGAATCAAGGCAAATCTGTTTGGAAAAAGTTCATACGAGAATGTAAAGTAACTATATTATAAACTAGTCAGAGTTCATAAGTTCAAGCATTGCTGGACTTTATTTTTATGGCATGATAATTGAAGGTGGTGCAATGACGAAATGAAGTGTAGATTTTTTATGGGGTTGTAGTTAGCCAAGATGAAGATTTGTTGTAAATGGATTGGTTATACTCAAGTAGAGTGAGCTGAGCAAACTGATAGAGCCAAAACTTGATGAGCCAATCTAAGTCTACGGGGAGATAGGAATTGGATCGAGTTAAACCTAATGAATCTAGGGATGCGGGTGGAGTCCTTAGGGTATGGATTGGGTCAAATGACCCAAAATTATGTTTTTTATTACTTTTTTTGTTAGTTGTAATCCAAATACGGTCATCAATCAATCAGAGAGAATTATTAAGACCACCCACAATGGCCACGACACCAAAAAAAATAATAAAAGAAATAGAATTTGTTTCTCTGGAAACTTATTTTTTTTCTTTTTGTATCTTTTAATAATAGTTGTATTTATTTTATATATATATATACTTTTTTATAGTAAATTTTATTTTTTATAAAATGATATATATTCTGATATATTTTTATTTAAATTTAATATTAAAAGGAATAATATTGATCTAAATATGAATATCTATGTATTTTTATATTGAGATAGAGGAAAGAGGATATGAAGTAGAGGTGACCAGATAATTTTGTTGAGTTTCTCTTATGTTGATCCCTGAGAAAAACACAATACATCGAGGACATAGGCAATTTTTCGATCATCATATTCATTTCAACTTTGTTTTTAGTTTAGATCTTTCTCAAACCATTACATTTGTAACATATATATCTTGAATTATTTCTATAATTATCTAAAAGTTAATCAAATTACATCCTTAAATTTTTACAAATAACTCCGCTATTTTTTTATTTTTACATATCAATCCTCAAAATATATTTAAAAATTACACCATACACTATCAGAATTACACATACAATATTGAGTATTAATCCTCAATCCACCTACCACCAATACAATAATTACAACAAAATCTAACGGGATTAAAAGAATAATAAATAGCATTGACAGACAGTAGCTATAATTATCGTAACGAATTATGAACTATCCATTTATTTTTTGGATTCATTTAAAAAGGTAACAATTACACCAATCCATCGAAGACATGTGATAAACTCAAATTTATTACAATTTTCCTTAAAAAGCAATTTTTCTTGTATAAATAGAGGCGAATATTTTGCTAAAAAAACATCAAATACAAGCAAGATGACTCGGAGGAGGATAAGAAATAAGCAACTTGCCAATGAAAATAAGCAAAACTCTATCCTCTTCAAACGATCTAAAGGGCTTGCAAAGAAGGCTGAGCAATTGCAGATCCTTTGTGGGGTCGACATCGCCATCATTGGCCACCGGCAAGGCGGTGAAAGCAATGCCATTCTTTGGCCGTCTCCAGAGGTAGTGGAGGAGCGGGTTAACAAATTCATGGAGTTTCCAGCACTTGAAAGAAATAAGAAGATGGTGACTCAAGAGAGTTATCTCGAGCAAACTCTGAATACTGAAAGGGAAAACATTGCTAAGCTCAAGAAGGCGGTGGCGGTAAAAGAGGGCCATCAACTGCTGGCCCAAAAGCCTTTGGACATGATGGAGATGACGGAGCTAGAGATGGTGGGAGACATGGCAGTTGACATGATTAAAATACTGAAAAAAAGGGCTGAAGAAATCAACCAGTCAGTGGGGGCAAGGTCCAGCCCAGTTGAGGGTGGTGGAGTGCTTCTTTGGGACCACGGATTTGGTGAGATTAGGGCAGACAAAGATCAAGGACTCATGGAGGCGATCATGGCGGTGGGAGTAGATAAGTGGTTTCCTAGTGGACATGGTGGCAACAAAAGCAGTGGTGGTGGTGCCGGTAGCAGTAGTGGTGGCACTAATGGTTCTTCTTTCTGAGTAATTTTAATTAAATATCATTGATGAAAGTAGAATTGAAATAATTAAAAGTAACAGAGGTGCTACCATCCTTACTAGCACTAAATTTTGAATTTAATGCTTGTTGTTATGGTTTTCATGTTTTTACTTTATATTATACATGTTTGTTTTGATTGGAATATACTACAGTCTTGTTTCCATTCTCTATAATTATTCAGCAAGCTTTATTTTAAGAAATTGAAAAATTCATTTGTTCCACTCTTTTATGGCTAGAAACAAACGTGAAAAATAAACTTGCAACGTCAAATTGGTATCAAAGTCAATACGAATCCCAAGAGTACAACAAATTTGTTGGTCTTAGAACTAAAGAAAACAAATTCTAAAAACTGTAGTATTCTAACGCAAGTATTGCTTGGTGAAACGACTGTGGGAGTGATCGAAATAGTTATAATGAACCACAAACGCCTATTGTGTTATCATTGAATCAAATGAAGGTGCTGATGACTCCAAATATGAGCATATTCTTAGCTTGACAAAAATGTGTATTACTCGAATTTCTGCATAAGAACCATCAAAATAATTCGTAATCGGCATACAATATTGATTTATATCACTACGCATGATCCGGAGTTCGTTGTTGAGATTATTAACGATTTTTGCCCTCTTAAGCGGTATTCTGGAATCAGAAAAGCTAAGGCAGACGCCGCAAGCGACAGCCGCCTTCGCTCGCAAGCGCCCAGAGCACACCTTGAAAATACTAAGGCATGAGAGGCAAGCGGCCACCTTCACAGCCCGTAAGCGATAGCCTCCCTCACTTGCAAGCGACAGTCCAGATACCCACCGCTGCAGACTATCACCAGATTTCAACTAAGTACTTCAACAGCAACGGTACAGCCATTCAAATTCCAGCCAGCACAAGCGAGCCGAGCCGCGCTGATGCCCTCCAGCTCTCCAGCAAGCGAGGAAGATCTGTGCCCTTAACCTTCAACGCAAGCAAAGCGGGCACCCTGGGAGTTATGGCCAGCAACTGCTTCAACAGAATAACTACCAGCAACCGCCTAATTGCCCAGCGGTTGGAACTGCCCAACAACTACTTGCAACCGTCTCTTTACACTTGCTATAAATAGGGCCAGATATCTTTATGTAAAAAGATTCGAATTTTTGGTGATTTCTGCATACTTTAGTATTCGTCGTCTTCCTGTTTCCGAGAGCTCCAACCCTGTAAGGGAGTTCTCCACAGGAATGGCCAAGGGAGTAGGGGTCTTCCCTTTCCCTTGGTCACGTCTTTACTGTTTTCTTAGATTAGATTACTACTTTCATTTACAGCTTTGTAGCTCTAATCTTTCACGCTTTCATAGTATATAAAGAAATATCATTCACTTCTTCAAACTAAATTCTTTCACACTTTTCCACACTTATATAAATCAAGTTTAGAGAATTTCATTTCACTGGTATAGAGCGAGAGAAGAATTGATTATCTAAGCCTTGTTATGCGCCAAAAGCTGTCTCAAGGTAGTTCAAAGTAGTTAAGTACGCGGGAGCCTTGTCGACCTGCTTAACTGCTGTGCTAAATTCGATTTTGATTAAATAATAGTAACATCAGGGGGTAAAGCCACTAATGAGGCAGAAATTGGAAAAATTAACGGGACATAGACGGGGGTCTATTAGGTCGCAGAAATTCCTAGTGACAGTAGGGTTTCTTTCTTATAATGTCTTAATTCTGGGTGTCATTGAAGTCTTGTTGTAAATCCCCCCAGGCCAAAAATACCAGTGTGATGAGTTCTTTACAATTTAGTTTATATAATTACAACACCTTCCTCCCATCATTTCCATAATATACATATACTCTTCCGATAACACACTTACATCATTCGCTCACTACATCCAGGAAAATCTATCCATTTAGTAACGCACAGATCAGACACAACACCTCTCCTTCACTCTAATTCGCCCATTTACATATATATATATAATGTGCCGCTCACTCATGCCCCGATCCTCTGGTAACCGTGATTCATCCATGCCCCGATCATCTGGTCCCCACTTCCGCTCATGTCCCGATCATTTGGTTACCACTGGCGCTCCACCTCTCGCTTTCGCTTCGCTCGTTTCCGCTCACCTCATCTTTATTGTTTTATTTACCGCTTTCAGTAGGTAAATTTCGGACCTGCTGCAAGCGGACCCTTTCTTGTATTCTTCGTCGCTTTCTTCAAGATTTTCACCGTTGAATTTCATGACTTAAAATCCTTGTATTCGACCTGGAAACTCACCAGTAAAAAGAGTATAAATAATTGTGATAACTACTCAGGGTCTACAACCACACAATTGCTATATCTGATCATTTTCCTATAAAATCCTACTCATTAATTTTCGAATAAAATTCCCTGTGAATTTTTATGCAAATTACAATAACTAATTTTGGTTATCAGGTGCCAAGAGAAGTTTGCTTGAAGGACATGACAATTCTTTATCTTTTATTTTCAAGCTCTCAATAAATGAGATTTCAAGAAGATAGTTAACACAAAATCCTCCAAAGATATGTGGTGAAATTAAAATATTATTATAAAGAGGATGAAAAAGTAAATAAGTTTGCTTCTTAGCCCTTCACGGTGAGTTGGAAAGCATAATGATGTAATAACTGTTGTAAATTAGATTAAGAGAAATGACAAGAAGCTAACCTAAACTCACTCGATGAAGGAGATCATTCACTCTAAGTTATAGTTTTCCAACATTGTATATGCCATCCAAGAATCGAGAGAAATCATGACTCTAATAATGGACAAGCTTCTCAGGTCACTCGAAGCTTATGAGTAGTAGAAAAAAGAGAAATAGTGATGAGATAATAGAAAAAACTCTCAAACCATGAGGAAAAGCTATGAAAGGACCATGTAGCTCAAAAAGAGTATGTCATAATCATTGAAATCCTAATGTACCTAAGAAATTGTATTATGCCTAACCTAGTTTGTCCTCTAAACAAGCTAAGTCGATATATCCTAATCACGAACACTTACGAATCTAAAGATATGATCCATGTCCAAAACGGATAAAAATATGAGAACACATTAGGCTGAAATAAACACACATCAATGTTATTGATTCATTGTACGCTAAGGAGGAATAGTTCAATGAACCATGTCAATTAGGCCATCAATACACTATATAATGTTGATTATGGAAGGTTCAAAACCAAAAATTATATGTTCTGATGTGTCAATTCCTCTTTAGAACTAAGTTATGCATCTATCCCTATTATGAGGATTTCCACTAATGTGGAAGGTTGTTGGATAATCGGTTAATTGTTTAACTGATGGAATTTAATTTTGAAAAATTAAATATGGAACTGATTAATCGGTGAATGAAAATACAATAGGCCTATGAACTAAATTAATTGGATTAATTTGAATTAAATATATATTAAATATGAGACTTGATTAATATTTGACTAATTTTGTCTATCTCGAGACGAACCAAATAGTGAAGCTCAAAGTTAAACCCGGATATATGGTCTAAGTCACAAGATTATCCACATAAAAACCTATCTGGTTGATATATCAATTATAACTTCAAATAGAATGTCTGAAATTATCATAAATTACAGCCAAATCAAACGAAAGATTTTAAATTAACATAAATTACAATTTTTAATAATATTGATAATTAAGGTCGTAATTATGGTTGTTGATTACTCACCTTAATTCCATTTGGATCGAGTGGAGATGCCTATATAAAGGCTCCCCTTCATTCTCAAACACACCAATCCGAATACTTGAGCTCTCTCCTCTCCTCTTCTCCGCTTAAGTTTCTGGTAAACCATCATAGCCTTCCAACAAAGCTCGATTACTTCCTCAATGTTTTTTCTAGAGCTGTGATTATTGAGATGCCAATTAAACCGGAGAAAAAATTCATTTGACCTTTATAGACAAAATGTCATCACCAGAAGCACTACTAGGTAGTAATTTAACTTGCGGGCAGAGGGTATCATCGACTCGGCTTCAGTCTCAATCTGTACCACTCTACCCAATTGTTGTTTACTTATTGTTATTTAATTTATTATCTCGCATAACAATATTTCTATTATTTTTCCAACATATGACAACACTCTATCTCTTATTTTTCAAGGTCTCAATGAATATGATTTCAAGACGATAGCCGATGAAAAATCCTCCAAATATGTGTGGGGAAAATCAAAAACAATATTTTAGAGATGATGACAAATTGAAACAAGTCCATTTCTTAGCCATTCACAACTATTTGGACAGCATGAATATGTCAAAACCATTGTAAATTAGCTCAAGGAAAATGACAAAGAGTTGACCTAAAATCAATAGATGAAGGAGATCCTACACTCTCTAACATATAGTTTGTTTCAACACTGTATGTGTCATCCAAGAGTCTAAATAAATCACGACTTTAATACTAGACAAGCTTTTCGGATCACTCGAAGGTCATGAGTAGTAGAAAGAGCGATGAGACGGTAGAGAAAGCTCTTAAATACATGGAAAAAGCTATAAAAGGACCATGAGGGTCTGTGCCCCCCAAACCACAATTTTTTTTTTATGTTTTACCCTTGAACTGCATTTTTAATGGTGGTTGTCCCAGTCTCCTATCCTAAAATCCTATATGTACATAGAAACTAAAGGTAGAAAAATGTAATATGTCTTAGCAGGCTGAATTGAAGCCCTTCTATTCCGACATTTCATCTCAGCCACTGCTCAAATAAAAAACATTAATCAAAGAAGATAAAGTATTGTGGGATGGTCACTCTTATGGACATAAGATATGGCCATGGTCGTCATGGTACAAAGGGTCATGGATGAGGCATATTCTAAAAAGAAAAAGGACAATCCAATCAAGAAAATAGGAAAAATCCTGAGGATGATAGAGAATACAAGGTTTTTGAATGCTACAAGTGCTCAAAGAATGATGATTTTGAAAAGAATTGCAATTCGAACAAATATCATAATTCTGAAAATATTGGACACTATACGAAGGGCTGGTGGAGCAAGAAAAAAGTGGAATAA